TTGAAAAATGGTGGCGTAGCTGTTCAGGGAGTTTGGCTTTTATTTCTTGTCGAGAAATTTGTCTTTTTAGTGCCAGCATTTTATTGATATCATTGACTGATGCTGCATACACCGATATAGTTTTGCTACCTTCTTCAAGTCCCAGCTGTTTCTCTGCTCTCCTTATGAAAGCTGACATTGCTGTATGCCGAATCATTTCAACATGAACTGTAGGAGAAGTCGAATTATGGGTGCGAATGATGTGCTTTTCTCTTTCTAGGAATAACACTCTATTTCGAGCTCTTTAGACGACGTCGCTGTACCTCATTCATGGCTCTCCGAGAATAATATCATGCGCTAGTCCAGGAATAACATACCCACAAATGGTACTGCACTTCCCATCTAAGTTGACATCTGCCCAGCAGATCTCGTCTACTATCAATTTCGCAACTTTATCAGAGTCTTTTGCTAGCTCAAGCTCTCTAGGGGGACTTTTTGGCGTGGGAGGTTGAGACATGTTGCAATAGAATCACTTAAAACTGAATAAATTGTGCAACCTAAATCGACTAATGCAGGAATACATGTAGAATTAATTATTGCATCAATTAAAACTGGTTTGCCGTGTAATTTGCCTACTATATCGTGTATTTTATTTTTATCTGTTTTACAATACATCTTCAACCCCCTTTCTCTCCAGTCGCGACTTTGACTGGAGGTTAATCTTTTCCCGACATATCCTGCTCCAAGAAATGACTCAACTCCTACATGTTATTAGTTTCTGTGGGCCGCTTAAGGGGTCCAAATTTCCTGCAGAATCGTGAAATATGTCCAGGTTTTTCACATCTCAAAGACACATTTCTTTCACAAAGGGTAATGAACTCTTTTTCACTTCGCCAAGGTGTAGGTGGTTTTGGCTCCAGGGTTTTACCCGCATTCTGCTTGCCATTGGGTTTTTTGTTCAAAGATGTGATTAAGACGGCTAGCTCATTCAAATAGACCTTCACAACACCCATTACTATATCCCCCTCATGGTTCATCCTGGATGCTGGTGTGAAAGGTAGCGCTTTATGCACGAAATTTGGCCGTGATTGGGCAGTCTCACTCTAAGCAATCTTGTTCCGGGTAGTGTATTGAGTAATTTAGGACTCTCCCTTACAAACAAAATTATCCCGCATTTCGATATTCGAGGCTACTTCGGCCACGTCCTCGACCCAGGCATGGTAATTATCTTTGGGCATCTTTAAGGCATCGATCTTGTCAAGAAGCTTCTCACTGATCGATCGGTGAAGCTGGTTAACTTTAAGTCTTTCTGGCCATACCTGACCTCCAGTATATTAGAATCGAAGCTCCCACTCTTGTATAAACTGTTTGAAAATTTGGGCTTCACCTTGTTTCATTGAGTGTAGCTTAAGTTCAGCCTTTTCAGCACTAACCTTGTCAAAGTATGCCTCGTTACACATTCCTAATAATTCCCTCCAGTTGTAACTTTTGAAATACAGGGCTAATCCTAGTAATCAGGATTCACATGTGTCCTTAATGATGTTTAGACCCACTATTGTAGTATATATGTATCGAAGCTCCCCGAGCCCTTACTAGTTGAACCAGTATATTCTTTTTACAGTAACTTACTGTGTGAGTTCCATATTTCATCCAGTGACTTCGAATTTGCTGTCACTGTGGTTCCGGAATACTTTCATAAATCTTCATACAGATTGCGATCTCTGTGAATATGTTATGAATCTACTTATTGGCAGATTTTCGAAGCTGTTTAGCTGCAGAGGTCGAGTCGATTTCGACGAAGACAAATTACCGAAGGTTCGAGGCTACGAAGTTACGAAGGCGCGAATGTGCAAATGTGCGAATTGATTACGAGACAGATGAGGTAATCGAGGCTCCGATTATCAAAGGTTACGAATTCAGATGTTCAGATTATCATATTATCCAAATAGCGAGTGCCAAATAAGTAAATTGTCAAAAAAAAAAATTTCTAGAACTGAAGAACAAATTCAAATTCCTAGCCTGAACAAATCTAAATCCCATTGCCTCAGACCTAACCGAGTCAAGAAGATAACTCCTGCATCACCACATCCAGAATAAATCTAACAAATTCATAACAGACTAGAAAGGGTGCGTACACCTCGCATTGGAACTGAAGAAGCTGATGATGAGTAGGCCACGTAAGAACCGCTCCATCCCACCTGCCAAATTTGACTTCCCTCATCATTTGGTTGCTTAAGGATTCTTGGGTAGAACAGAACTGAGATGAGTCGTTCATTAGGCTATTGGGTGGCAAGTTATCAGGAATTTCTACGGTATTGTAAAATTCGTCTTCAGAGGATTCGCTGGAGTGAGCTGGAGATGATTCTGAATCAGACAGAGCAAGTATCTTCATGCGCTGATAAAGGGTTAGTTTAGAGAGTGAGATTTCATTAATTTGTCGCCGGATCAATTGGTGTTGATATACAGCAGAGCAGGTCCAGAATATTCAATTAACCAATGAAATCTAGGGTAAAAGGGCTGCCTACTTCTCGCTGTATACATAGGGAATTGCAATATCAGCGCCGATCATAACAATCTATGTTGTTAAGCAACCACATCCAGACCGCAACATTGGTAGCCCCCATAGCCAGCTAGGCCCTATATTTCATCCCTGCCTTACTGGCGCACACAGTTAAACACAAGGGATTAACCCCGAAACAATTTCTTCTGATAGCCCGAAGTAAATTTCTATTGGGTGAAGTGAAGATTCGTAAAATTCTACCCTATTATTGCTTAAGTCATTTGCTGTCAGGTAGCTGTGAGCATGACCCGTGACAGGCGAAGTGTATGTAATTAAAGTAAAAGATAATTCAGTAAAAACGACTTAATCCCTATTTCTCCCGGAATTTTAGGACTTTTTGCACTGATCACGACTGACTTGATCTCTAAGTATAGACATGTCCTAGGGATAGAATGACCTACGGTTCTAAATATAGAATGCAAGCACTGACCGAAGCAAACAACCCACGTAAGTGTGAACAGTTCCTATTTTTGACTTAAGATATTTCCCTATCCAAGATCTTCGATAGTTATTCTTAGCCTTCGACATATGCACCTTTAGCAAGCTTCGAGCAATTTCTTTGGATACCTTGTAATATTTTTATTATCCTTTCTAGTATTTTACCATCTGGGCCAGCCGCAGCTCGTATCGAGACCCATAGTTGTTGTAATTAGGGGAGTAACAGAACTGCATTACAATAAAGTGTTCACATTAGAATAATGTGCGCATGCGCCATGAGATATGATTGACGTAGATCATCACTCAATATTAAGAATCTATTTTCCAATAGATTCTTAATAGTATCTGTTGGTACAAAGATCTCTCATATCTTTCCTTTCTTGGTTAGCTAAAGACATATGTTGGAGCGTCCACTGGTGTGCAGAAACCACCTTATTCATGTATATAGAGGAAGGACATGTCACATAGGTACTATAAGCAATTCATTCAATAGTAAATTTAGACAATCTCCATATTATTCACACACTTGAGAATACTAGGGAATATCCTCAAGTTCGTCCATTGTTCCAAGTCCTAAGAGCTTAAATCACAAACTTCACTTCTCTCAAAGCCATAGCTGCCTCCTTCAATACCTTCATCCCAACGGTAAGTCATCCAAGTTCGGCATAGTCTTTCAATATTAGTGATGGCCGGCCTCACTTTAGTACTGTTGTTAGGCAAAGTTATACTGATGTGAATCTTTCTCAGAGTTGATTGAATTGATTTTCAATTTCGAGGATTCTATCTTAGTTCTTATATACATCTTAAGTTAGTTCTCATAATTTCCTCCCAAATTTCAGATATAGCCCAATAGATACAAGTATTTATGCAAACAGCTCGAATTTCCCTACTTTTCATGGTTCTGAAATTGGTCGTGTTTGTTCCCTTGATAGCAAATTATAAGTGGAAATTATAACCAAGCATAGTAAAATTAATGGAGTTTATTAGGAGATTAAATGACTCGAGTGTAATGACAAAATACAAAATACAAATGCTAGCGGGATTATGCATAGGTAGGTGGGGATCTATCTAATAACATATGCATGGCTCGAATATAGCTAGTGACGCTTTAATCTTGTATTTCAATTGCATATAGATTAACAATCTTTAATAGAGATGATTCTTTATTTAGATGTTATGAGATTTTATTCGGCAACTGTACAGAAGTCTCGAGTTGTTTAATGTAGTACCCCAAGACAAAGATGCTAACCCATCCATTAATTATAATCTAGGTTGAGAAGTTTACCGTATTTATCCTATGAGAGTCTATTTTTTCTCCTTTGAATCTTATCTGTAAATGTGATGTTGCGTAATTAATCAAAAATTGCACGGATTGAATTGTGGAAATATAGATTAACCTGTCCCGAAATCTATAGAAGGTGGCGTCTGTGTGAATCCACTTATTACTTGTTTATTCTGATGATACCAAAATTGTTTAATCTGCCACAAGGTTCATAAATGTCAGCGTGAACTCGGATTGTGTAATACTTATGTGCTTCCAACCCATAAATACGTATGATAGCTTGGTTTTCAGAGACTTACTCTTAGGGGACCTAGCTCAGACGTGTATCATTATGCTAGTAAGTGGATACTCAATCATCTTCAATTTTCGAAGCTCTGACACACATGAAATCGTGACGTTAAATCATGGTGTTTGTCGAGATAGTGACATTCATGTATTGTCCAATCTTCGAGCGCAAGTTGATAAGATTATGACTTTCATTTGCCATATTATGTAATTTATTAAGACTGGGCTAGCTGGTACCTAAAGAGCTCACGTGCTGTAAGCGTGCAGGAAGTTAATTATTGTATGTAAATAAAGCAATAGCCCATTTGAAAATTGGCACAGGTCCATCGGTATACGCGTTGGTCAAGGTTAAAAGCAGTAGGGATGCAAGACAAATGAAATTCGTTATGTAATTTGGGGAAGTGCCTCGATAGAAGATCCGAGTATCAAGTGCCAACAGGCTTGTTTGGATGGAGGCTACTTCCCGGTAGTGACCTCCTCGGAAGCGATTAAAGACTCAATTTCGCAATCCACAAGCCATTTCTGGACGCTATCCATGATCTTATCTAATTCTGGACCTCCATTCATCACGTCGGCGAGATTATGGCAATGTAGCCCACTACGATGGTCCGAAACTCTTTGCTGACCCCAGTTGTACGTTCGGACCTTGTCTCCCCTGCCCATTTTGGCTACACCAATAACGCCTCGTCGGAGCTTCCTAACTTCTTCCTCACGAGCCTCGCGTTTTGCCTGTGCCAATCTTGAGCGAAGTACCTGCCATGCTTTTGCTCTATTCGCATGCTGTGACCTCGAATCTTGAATGGCAACAACTGTATTGGTAGGAATATGAGTAAGCCGCACGGCTGAATCAGTCGTATTGACGTGTTGGCCACCTGCTCCTCTGGCCCGCATCACATCGGTTCGTACGTCAGTGGGATTCACATAGTAATCGCTTGATGGGTCCTTCAAATCGGCTTCCGAGAGCAGCTGGCCATCACCAGGAGATTGGGGTAAGCTCGGCATGACCAAAACGCCGACTGCGCTCGTGTGAGTGCGTCCTTTGCTCTCCGTTGCAGGCACCCGCTGGACTCGGTGAACGCCTGCTTCGGTTCGAAGTTTGCCATAAGCCCCAGCACTATCGACCTCTAGAATCGCTTCAGCCAGCGGCATGTCAGGTCCATCGGTGGTCTCATACTTGATGAGAGAAGTCCGAAAGCCTACCCGGGTACAATAAGCTGTATACATGCGAAGTAAGTCAGCTGCAAATATAGCTGCTTCACTACCGCCCGCACCAGGTCGCAGCTCTATTAGGCAAGGAAACTCCGCGAAAGGATGCTTAGGAGTAAGGGTCGCCGCCAGATCCTTTGAAAGCGTGGCTAATTGAGAATTGGTGTTCACTAAATCATCCGCTGCAAGTTTACGGAGTTCCGCATCGGTTGTAGGATCCGAGAGAAGGGCATTAAGTTCAGATAACGAATCATTTTGAGCTTCCCATTCATTCAAAACCTCCGTCACTCGTTTTAACTCTCCCATTCGTCTAGCACTTTTGGCGTCAAATGCTTCCGATGACTTCTTACTTAATACCTCATGTTCCAGGGCCATACTGCGTGCCTTAGAGATTAGCACCGGAGAAAAAGTGCCATTTGATTCTACTTCAAAGTTAAGAAGAGGAACAAACTGGGACATTAGGACTTACGACTGCTAGCGTTATGTATAAAGTGGCATCTACTAGTTCTCCTACATGATCTCAGGCACTGTCGATAGGTCTGAGAGACTGTTATCATCCTCTTCATCACGAACAAGTCATTGGCGCTACACGGCCTGTGTCTGTTAAATTTTCCACTTAGGGTTGTGCCTGGCTACCACGCCAAGGACATATTCTGCCCTGTGTGTACCCCTGTTAATTTTTAAATCAGCAGCGTCCTGTCCTCTATGTGTAGATGACACGTATAAGTTCTACAAATCATCATACTAATAGCCTAGTCATTGACATATTGGATTGATTAGTTACGCATGTAAATTTTGTCAACTTTGGTATTGTTTTTCGTGCATTAACATGCAAGACATATTTTCGCCTCCGCACTCTTAAGGCAGTCGAGCACGAGTGTGGCCAAGTTTGATCAGGTTAATTACAATAAAGTACAATTAGATGCATAAATCTCATCCCACCTCAAAATAAACTAATGTGTTAAGCATGTCTAGTCTAACTTTCCAGGGAAACTGATCTTGACGCCTCGAAGTGCAAATTTCTCAGCCTCGACCACAACGCGCTTGAGGTGGAGGAGGAAGGCTGAACACCTGTCAGTGGTGTCCATTACGAACCTGGGAGTGAAAAATTCTCCCAAAGCCGAGATTTAGTCACGAAAAAGGGTGGGATGAATTTTATATGATGGATTTTTGATTTGAAGGAGTTGCACTTGAAATTTTGGTCGAAAAATAAGTCGGCAGAGATTTCAAAGCCGCAAGAAACTCGATTAAAAACTCATCACCACTAACATACGATTCACAAATGGCACGCCATCTTGAAGCTAAGCTAATCTCACTTTTCACACATAATAATCCACTAGGAACCTCACCTATGCCTAGTATTATCTTACCTATCTGTCCTGATTTCTCTTACGTCCGTACCAAAGCCCTGCCTCCCAGATTCGTGCACCACGATTTGTTTCCTCCATATGGTATTCATATCTTTGTGGGCGTATATATGAAGAACTGAGGCTGATTATACGAGAGGTGTGGTCATCGAAATGAGGACTTACTAATTCGTATTTACAGATTTTCCTAGCTTTTGGCGAGGATTGATCTTGTTGGTTTCAAAAAATTGATTTGGTTGAGAGCATTGAATCATTGCTTCACGCGCCAACTTCAGTATTGCGAGGTCCTTCATAGTCTTAGACTCAGTAGGGACTTAAATTTAATTCTATTCTATTCTATTCAGTATTGCGAATTGATTTGTTTGGGCTACGACAGAATAATTCACTCCCATGTTCGAAGAGGATATGATGATAGGAATTTTCAATTTTGCACCTCGCGAACATACCTAATAATGATATTCGCGAATGGGATATAGCGTATGGGTGTTTCTGAAACCACAGAAGTCATCCGATATGTGTATAACACATCAATCGTCTGTCGTAGTTTTTTAGCTATACAGACTTTAATATTACAAATTAAGATGAGGCATTTTACCCAGTAAAAAAAAAAAAAGATTCACAAATGGATTTAGGTCTGTTTGGGGGTCGTATTCAAACATCTGAAATTTCTCAAACTCCTCATGTATTTGCGACGAAGCATTTCTCAGTCTATTCTACACCTGCGATCCACCTCCATACTCGTTATAGCACTTATCTACACACGCCCTAATGAGGAAAGTCATGATGGAAACGGGACGTATACAAAGGAGTAAGAAAAAATGAAGATACACTGAGAGGATCGCACAAATCCCCGATAAAGACAACAACCCAATGGTACGATATGAAGGTGCAAGGCTAGAGAAACAAAGAGATCTGGAACCACATTTATATTTCGGAGTCAATGAGGATGTCAAGGGCTCGGGCGCGTGGTAGACGAGGCTGACGAGGAATTTGCGCTGCGGCGCATCAAAAGAGGTATCTCTGGAAGGTTGGGCTTGACGTGATTCAACACATGGGTGAAGCCTGAGGTGGTCCGGTCTTTCAGGTGGGAAGAGGTAGATGTAATTAATGGTAGTTAACCTGATAAAGCCCGACCCCACCCGTGCTTAAGCTCCAGGAGGAGTGCAACGGTAGTCACTTTACCTAGCCCGTTAATAAACCAAAAGGACGCGCTTGAGGTATCAAGTTCTTCTCAATCTCTAACTTTTCTTTCCATTAAGTCCAGTCGAACATCTTTCAACCATCAGCTCATCACTTTCAGGAATCGTTTTCTTCATTGGAGCCTTTATGCAGTCGCCCACAGGGCCCCACCTCAGCTATTCTTACTTTATCTTCAATTTCCGAATTGACTTATCTTACCTGTCAAAGAACAATTACGAAATTTTGAAATCCGGCAAAACTCTGGCCTTGCCCCGTTACTATCTTACGCCTGACTGTGGGGGCAGAATACGAGTCATAGAGCCCAAGGCCGTTACTGAGACTGTCTCTTCACCGCGCACGGCAATTTCTACGAAATAGATGCCATGTTGTTCATAGGTTATGGATAGCTTTTGTAATCGGAGATATGGTTTGGGAGGGTTGCGAGAGGAGTTTATCGGAGAAAAAGATTCAAGGAAAAATCATAACGGTGAAGAAAATCTGTCATTGTGGTTTGATAAGTAGACAGGTTTGGGCTTCTCTACGGCTTGCGACTGGGGTGTGAGGGCTCATGTTGTTGGGTCGTGCAGTCCATGCAGGTCGGGAATTTCAATCAAGATCAGAGCTAACACGATGTCTACTAAAACACTCAGGTGAAACCTTTGTCGTGACTAGGTCCGGACTGAATCTGAATATTTTACTCCAATTTAATGAGGGATACCACGGTAAGATTCCCAACTTTCATCCTGCTGCATGCTAGCGGTAGTTGAACGGATGTGATTATTGTGTAAACCCACTAAAGGAGTGATTGACCACACGAATAAAGACTGGTAAGAATTTCATGTCTAACCCGCCCCATCTGGATACTCTTAAGTCCCGTATGTGTTTAATGTTATACTTGAATTTATGACTATCTAGCACCTTGGGCTCTTCTCTGGCCTAAGCCACACCTCATACTGTGCTCCTATCATCTTTTGTTACTAGAAAGATCATTGATATATTGCCTATGATGAATCTGTTGAAATATGATATATCTTGGAATGCCAAGAAAAGCTTATTTGTAAGTCCGGCTAATTTGACTATCAAATTTCCTACTCTATATCACTGTTATCAACACATCCTTCACCGAAAGTTAAAAGCGCATTGGCATTCCAGCAGATGACTATGTCTCAAATGCAGGTTGTAGTTTTCTCGTATCTATTACCAACACACATGTATTTAGCTTTATATTTCTAGCTTACATATGTGTGTGTACATATATCTACATCTATAGAGATCAAAACTTAAGATCCATGGAGATTGATAAATACTGGTCAAAAACCACAGTTGATAAGATATGCTAACACGCAATCTCACTCTTATTATCTTGGTTTTACTCTGAACCATACATCTCAATACAATTGTTTCCACTCGAATCTTCCTTTCACAACCTCATACAAGACTTACTGGATCAGTCTAACTACCGACACTGATTCTGCTCTAACCTCCATCTTCGCTCAAGCCCATAACTTTAACAGAATCGTCATTCAGCTCAGCGTTTACCCATGGAATTCAGCCACGTTCTCTACGGAACCTTCTACCCAAAGAAAAGATATAATGATGGCAATGGATACTGCGTGTGCAGAAAAAAGTGTCAAAAAACCTGCAGCCTAAGCCACGTAGTTGCGCCTGTCCGTGATGGGCTTTGCCCGGGTTTGGACTGGTCACTAGGACCACTCCGTCTTCGAGTTTAGGCTGTGGCAGAGCGACGCTTACGGATATGTGAATGGGGCGCTAAGGAGGTATCAAGTGTGACGGCTTGTGAGCCGATAAATCCTGTCGCCTTCGATGGCTATCGAAGGCAACCTATATTTTCTATCACTCCGAGGATTATCAGTATGTGTGACAGAAACCGAGTTGGTGATGAATAAATCGATTTAATAAACTATATGAGGAGAAAAGCTGACTCTGGCCACTACTAACAGGTATTTATAGGAGTTAATCCTCCTCGTGAATCTACAGACTAGTGACTTGTCCTTAGGCACAATACTTCTTACCCAGCCACGTATTTCCAGGTGTCACTAAGTTGTAATAACGCTTCAACCTCCTGAGTAGTAGTCGCGTTTCTTTCAGCTTCATCTCCCCCTCATACAGCCTCATAGTAAGAATTCTTAGTAACAGGCTTAGGTATCCACCTAAGCTCAAACAACGGTCAAACCGTAACAGTATGAGGTTTCTGGGCGCGCGTTGTGTACCTAGTAAATGGTGGGTGTGTGTGTAAGAACGAAATGCTATCACGTAGTGTCTTGTGGCTCCTAATTACAATGGATCTTTTGTAGAGCTTGAGACTAATACGTGAGTTCTATATCCCCCTAAATGTAGGATATCTATGCGCTTATATACATCAATACTCTGTTACCCCTCAGCTCCAGTGAGATCTGCCTTGTGACTGTGCAATCTGATCGTGTGAGATCATAAGGCACTAGCATTTTGTCTACAGTCTCTTAAGGGGTGTAATAGTACAATTGTCAAAATGACTGGCAATGTGAATACTCACACAAAAAATATCATCAGTCGATCTATCCCATCTGCACTATCAATTCCATTTTCATTCGCCTCCACAGCAATCTAACACCCTTACCTCACTTTAACACCTTATCAATCTTTATCTTCCCACCACCCTCGAGAGATTCAAACCCGTGGACTCATTGTACTGCTGGCAACCATGCCATTGGTACGAGTTGCGAAACGCCAGCACTCGCTGGTGGATTACGACAAGCTCCAACTACGGTCGCGCCTATTGGAGTACGGCATCACCATCAATGTGATGGACATTGATAATGCCGAAGCTGCCATCACCACCAAAGTGATGGATGCCCCGGAAATCGAGATGATTGACAGGGCCGTCGACGAATTCGTCACCAAAGGCCTATCCGACTCCATATGGACTGCCCCAACTAATTCAGGCAGCTCTGAGCCAAGTCAGCAGACGGAGAAATTGATCCCGTCACAAACTTCTCCTAGGTTGTCAGCAACCTCATCGA